TGTTGGTGTTGGTGCGTGTTGTGGTGTGTGTGAGTGTGAGTCTTCTTCTTATTCACAACCCACACCCACACTCCACCCACTCACACCCACCCCCACACCCTCACACCCACACACCCACACCTACACCCACATCCACCCACATCCCATTAGAAGCATTAGCACGATTTTGTCTTAAACATTCAAAACAAGGTAAAATTAGTACATTTACAATTGATCATATTATGAAAATGGCTCGTTTAATTTTGGATACTAATTCTTTTGCTTACAATAATAAGTACTATAGACAAATTCGTGGTGGTGCAATGGGTTCAGCATTTACACAAGTCTTAGCTAATATTTATACGTTCGAATGGAAACAAGATTTAATTAAACATCAAGAAAAACATAATGAAATTTATGGAAGGTATGTTATTACCTAATTAAACAAACTATTTTTTGTAACTGTATCTCCTTCTTTTTCTTTATGGTCAAATAGATATATTGATGTATTCATGACAACAAATCAAACAATAGATGAAATTAGATAATAACTTGAAAAAGCACAAAATCAAGATGTTAATCTTAAAATTAATTATAACATTGATATATCAGTTGATTTTCTGGATGCTTGTATTATCAATGAAAATAGCCAATATAAAAACAAGAATTTATCATAAACCAGCTGCTGAACCATATATTTTACCGTATAGATCAACTCATCCACGTCATATACATCGTAATATACCATATGGTGCTTTATTACGTGCTGTTCGTATCTGTTCCAATATGCATGATTTTAATACAGAACGTTGTCATATTGATGTATTCTTATTATTAAATGGTTATCCACCAAATTTTATTACAAAACAATTTCATCGATTACTTCATTCAAAAAACACTATGCTTCTCTTGAAACAAATGAATGAACAAGCTTACAATCCTATACATGAAACATTACTACACCAACATACCGGACGTGAAAAAGAACTTAAGAAAATGATTAAAGATCCAGTGAAAAAACCATTAGTATTACAGTCAAAAATTTGGGATTCAAAATTAATGTATCCAAATTATTTATTTGATAGCGGACAATCAGTCGACACATAAAAACAATTCCTAAAATGGTGGAAACAATACTACGTCTTTCACGATTCAAAAGTTAACAACGTTAAAATCATATTAGTAGCAACAACTCATCGTATTCTGGAAGATTTCCTTATTTATAAGAAACCTCCACGACAGATATTAACAAAAATGGAATCCTAAATAACGAATATTCAATAAACATTACTACCCAAAAAACTACTACCATCCACACGCAATATAAAGTGGTGGAAGAAAGTTTAGAAACAACATTCTTTTTTCTTTTTCTGCTCGAAGGTAAGCACTAAGCAAGTTTTAATAACCAATATAGTTAAAGAGTAATTATAGTTACCTACTGCATATAGAAAGAGTGAAAGAGTTTTAATTTCTATTTTAAAACAAAAATTTTATTTTTTCTCCAGCAGAAAAAATTTTAGATACAAAACCTACTTATTTACAAGTTTTTCAAAAATAAAAATATACAACTAACAAAAATGTCCATCTTTAGCTTTTAAACATTTATGAATCCTGCCTGGAATCGAATCCAATAATATTTGACACAACTCAATACCAAGTCCATTTCATTCTTGTTCTAGACGTTGCCAAAGTGTTGCCTTGTCGTAAATTGGTTTTGCCATCAATATTTTATCAATAATACTCCAGACCATTTCAATTGGATTGAGATCACAGTTTTCGGGTGGTCAATCCAACATTTTAAATTTTAGTTTCTTGAGTTTTTCTTGAACAACTTTGGAAGTATGCCATGGTGCAAGATCTTGTTGATATAGAATTTTGTCCATGTTGTGAAGTTTATTTTACGATTGTTTTAGTTCGCCACCCAAAATATCACAATATATTTGTTCATTCATGTTGTCATTATAAATTTTTGATTCAGTAGGTCCTTGTCCCGAG